ACACACACACGCACACACACACACACACACACGCACACACACACACACACACACACACACACTAAGGAGAATGAACAATTCAGAGTAACCACCATTTGACTTAGGACAGTGATTCTGATATCAAGCAGGACGTTCTTTCTGGAGCATTGGGTCCCGATGGAGTCCCAGGAGATAGAAACAGAAATGGCCAGGTGGACCTGCCTGAGAAGAGGCCTTCTTGAAGTAGCCAACAGCGACAGGCTCCTAATGTTACTACCTGGTGTGAGTCACAGGACCAGTAGAGACACCAAGTCGCAATTCTTCCTAAACAAAACAACTCCCCACCTTTGCAACCCCCTGGGAACCATTTCCTGATGCAAAAACCCAGAGTGAGAGGCTGCTCTCTGGTTTTAGCCAACATGCTTAGGCATGCCATGGAGGCTGGAGATATAGAAGGAAGGAGCAGGCACTCCATGTGGGAGCTCAGCCTGGCTAGACATCCCCTCCCCCATCCCCCAGACATGGAGATAACAAGCAGACTCAGTTCCCATGTGACTCTGGACCCATAGGAATGGAACCACTGCTGGAACTCCTGGGTTTGAGGGCTCATGTGGACAGAAGGCAGACGAGCAGCAAGACCCTGGAGTCTCAGATGAGGAAGATTTCCTGGAACCCACTGGCATGGTGTGTCAAAGACGAAGAGGAAATGCCAGGAGACTCAGGAGCTGGGCTTGGGGGACAGGGGCTTTTTAGGTCAATCTGGGTGTTTGAAGAAACTGCTCCTCCTGACTGGTGTGGTGGGTGTTCTAAGGCAGGGGCCACTTTATCCATCGGTGAGTGGTGTTCTGCTTTTTACATCCTCGTGACAGGAAACTCGTTCTGGGTTCTTTGGGCATTCCCTTCTCTGGTCTCCCAGAACCGTCCTTTATTTGTAGGGGAATGTTCCTCAGCTACAGGATGGGGGCTGTGAAGGTTTTGAATGATCCTCTACTTTAAGAAACATTTTACATCTAAACTCAGAAGCTAAGCGCGCGCATGCGCACACACACACCTGAAAACAAAATAATACAAATGAATATGCCCCTAATACAGTCTGCCTTCTTCTTTTAGTTTAATCTAGTCTGAGTGCACTTTGCTCTGTCCCACTGTAGTCCTATGCTGGAATTAATTCACCTGGACATTTCGGCTTCTATCTCCTGGGACTGCACCACGACCCGAGGCTCCTGAAAGAACATCCTTCTTGGATATCAGAACCACTGTCCCAAGCCAAATGGTGGCCACTGTCAAAGGTGCAGCCTAGAGCTACTCCATTTCAGGCTCAACGGCTCTTTCTAAAGCTACAATTGTGTTCAAGGCACTGGAGATCCTATCCTGACAGTCTATGACTGAGATATAGAATCTACCAGATCTGTGGGCTCGACCTGGAGCAGGCAAAAGGATCACCAGGAATCTGTGGAAAATGCAGATTCCCACTGGCCTTGTGGGCTCACCATGGATCTGTGGCGGCTTCAGGGAGTTTTTGACAAGCACCAGGTGATTCTGATGAAAAGCCCGGCACGATGATGTCCCTCCTGCCCTAGGTACTGTTCTCAGGCTGTGGCCTGGCTCTCTGCATGCCCCTGCTCTGGCTCGTTGGGCCTCCTGTAGGACAGGCTCCATGTTTCCACCCTTGTGGCCACCCTAGAAGCAGAGGCCTCTTCTGCGGCCCAGATCTGCTCTTTGGACCATGCTGACTGCTGATGGACTGCTTGAGCCCTTCTCGCTACCTCCCAACAATTACACCAAAGTCTGCACCCACATCCTCTGCTATGGGCTTCCTGTGTCTCCAGGATGGGCCTTAACAGTCTGCCTGAGCTGAGGCTCTGGGTAGTGGCTGCTGGATGGAACACTGTCCCATCCTCAGGACACTCCTTAGCACAGCCCCTTTCCACAATAAGCTGAACGTTTTTGAAGAATTCTCTGCAGTCATGGGCTTGGGAACTTCTGAACATTTATGCTCACCTTCACTGGACTCTGTTTCCTTAGTCAATTTCCTAACCCTTCCCTGCAAGGAGGGTTTCCAATGTACTGCCCTCCTTTCTCACACCTCCAATTGCCCAGTGCTTCAGAGCACACAGAAGACACAGACTGGAGTCCTGTACTTCCTCCCACCGAGTCCTTAACTTCCAGTGTTTCCTCCACCCAGGCTCGTTGCCCAGGGGGCTGGATCCGTCTCCTGGATGACCCACTTCTGCCTCGCTCCCAACCCACTGTGAGAATAGAGGGCACAGGGAAAACCTGAGCCTTCGCTTGGTGAGCCCCCTGCCTGCCTTCCCTATAGCTGCTTCTGTGTGTTTTCTAGATGTTGTATTCGTCCAGAAGTCTCAGGGCTGGGATGTGCTCAACTTCCTGAGTGCTTGCTTAGCACGCACAAAGCCTTAAGTTCAGTCCCTGGTGCCACATAAATCTGAGGGTGGTGGTCCACACCTGTGATTTCAGCACTTAGAAGGTGGAGGCAGGCAGGGAGATCAGAAGTTCAAGGTCATCCTCCAATACTTCCACTAGTGAGTTCAAGCCAGCCTCCTAGGATACACCAGACTGTGACTAGAAAAGAAGTTGGGGAGAGTGGAGAATGAAAGGGAGGAAGAGGAGAAAGAGGAAGAGGAGGAGGAGGGGGAGGAGGAAGAGGGGGAGGAGGAGGAAGGGGAGGAGGAAGAGGAGGAGGAGGAGGAAGAGGAGGAGGAGGAGGAAGAGGAGGAGGAGGAGGAAGAGGAGGAGGAGGAGGAAGAGGAGGAGGAGGAGGAAGAGGAGGAGGAGGAGGAAGAGGAGGAGGAGGAGGAAGAGGAGGAGGAGGAGGAAGAGGAGGAGGAGGAGGAAGAGGAGGAGGAGGAAGTAGAGGAGGAGGAAGGGGGGAGGAGGTAGAGGAGGACTCCTCCTCTGTGGAGTCAGCTGCTCCTCTGCTCCAAAGGTCAACAAGGTCCTCTGGGTGACCAAACCCAAGGGTATTTCTAGCTTTGTTTCTCTCCGCATCCCGCCTTCCCCACAGTGACCACCTCTGCTGACTTTTTCTTTCAGAAGCACGTTTTGAGTTTGTAGCCTGTAGTATTTTGAATGAGAATGTCCCCCATAGGCTCCAAGTATTCGGACATTTTTGTCCCCAGTTGGTGGCACTGTTTTGGGAGGTCTTAGAAGGTGTGGCCATGCTGGAGGAAGCACGTCACTTATGCCTTGCTAGATCTCCAGTCACTCTCTGCTTCCTGTGCCTGCGTGATGATGTGAGCATGGCAGTTTCTGCTCCCGCCACCTCCTGCCGCCATGCCTCTTCGCAATGATGGACTCCAATTTCCCTGGAACCATAAGCTAAATAAACTTTTCCTTTTATAAGTTCCCTTGGTCGTGGTGTTTTATCACAGCAACAGGAAAGTGACTAATACCCAGACTGACACCCCCAAAATCTCTGCTTGGCCCTGGTCTCACTCGTCCCTCTGGCCTGTCCCTGCTCATCCTTCTTGGAGCTAGCTGGTCCTGAGCCTTCCCCTTTTCCAGCTCTGTTCAACCTCTGGATGATGTCATTCCTATCCTGAGAGTTTAGGATGTCAGAATGCTGAGCATACTGTCTTTCTATCCACAGCGGGGTATCTCTGGAGTGCCAGCAAGTTCCCCACTCCGTGTGAGTGGCTCCACGCGAATGGCTCTCAGTCACCTTTGGTCACACCCAGTCCAGATGCCCACATCTCATCTTTCAAAATCCACTTCTTCCACAGTCTTTCTCATCAACAAATGATACCTCCACTTATAACCTACACAAGATATAGGAGCTCATCCTGCTGTCTGTGGCCTCACCTTCCCCTATGTCTTCACCTTGTCCCCAGTCCTGGGTCCTGGCGGGAGTGAGGACATTCTGAAGAGAGGCCCTGTGGCTATCAGATGACTGAGACCATAGATCCCAAGGAACTTGAATTTCCCCTGGAATCTCATGGTGGAGATGGAAAAGACTGGGGCCCTGGGGCCGGTCAAGAGAGGAACTTGTTTCACAGGAACGCATTTCATACAGTTCTGACAGCTTATAGACCACAGGAGTGAAGATGGTGGAGGAGCCGTGATGGGCAGGTCCATACCTTACTTGAACTGCTTAGCTGTGCAAACCTCTTGCTCTCTATTTAAACCTCCCATCAGGATCCCCAAATGGACTTCAGATTGAGTGAACCCCTCTATTCTCTCCTCTTCCCAGTGTGGCCACATTGACTAACTCTCTTCTGTGCTCTCCCCTGTTACTTGTTTCTTTAAATGGAATATTGGAGCCAAGAGGCCAAGCCTCACTTGAGGCTGCCAGGGCCCAGGCTCTGACCCTGAAAACTTCGCTTCTCCAATCTTCTTTGCCACTGGGCTAGTCCCAGATCCACTGGGTGTTGGCTTGTTCTCCTTGATGCTCTCACTTTTTCTGCCCTGACTTGTCTGCAACCCATTCATGCTATAGAGAGCTGTGCGGTCTCAAAAGCACATCCTCAGTTAACTGAACAAATGCCTCAGTAGCAGGTGGAGACGGGTGCGGGGTAAATGGCAGCTCTCTGTGCTGCTGTTACACTTTTTCTGCAAACCTGAAGCTGTTGTGAAAAACAAAATTCAACACACACGCATGCACGCACGCACAAACACCCCACAGAGAGACAGGGAAAGAATCATGTAGTTCCTCTCCTTAAATCTCTACAGTGTCTTCCCATTTCACTTTATCTGAATCCCCAACAATCCTGAAGACCCAGGTTCCTGTTGTTTCTCTCGGGTCCTTAGAGACTACTGTCCCTTTCCCAGCCCCCCAGGGTTCTGCATCCATGGCCTCCCCCACGGTGACTTTCAACCCTGGCTTGTCTGTGCACCATTTCTTCCCACTTTCCTGTACTGACTTATGCTTGTGTGTCTTCCACCACCTACACACTCCCAGGGGGCCTCAGCGCTCAAGACATTTGACTTTAATGCTATGTCCACCTCTAGGGGAAGTCCTTTCCCTGATTGGTACAAAAGCCCAGGGCCAACTAGCAATGTATTTGTTGAGCTGAAATGTGATGTCCAAGTTTGTCCCAGCTCTAAGGCATCACAAGTGTCCTTTCAAATAGGACAGAGACCTGTGCTGGAAGCTTTAGCTGTCAGCTTGACACCTCTGGGAAGAGGGAGCCTCAGTTGGGGAATTTCCTCTATAAGTCTGGCCTGTGGGCATGTCTGTGAGGCATTTTCTTAATTGTGGAGTGATATAGGAGGGTCCAGCCCACTGTGGGTAGTGCCCCCTGCCCCCGGCAGGTGTTCCTAGATTGTACAAGAAAGGAGCACAGGCCAGAGGAACAAGCCAGTAAGCAGCGTTCCACCATGGTCCATGCTTCAGCTCCTGCGTCCAGATTCCTGCCCTGAGTTCCTGCCTTGGGTTCCCTCAGTGATGAACTGTGATCAGGATGTGTGAGCCAGGCAAACTCCCCCCCAAGTTTGTTTTGGTCAGAGTGTTTTATCCCAGCAAAAGAAAGCTAATGACAAAATCTGCTATCCGCTGAGCTGCAGCGGGGCAGAGGCCCTCTGCTGTGACGCACCTTTAGCCAGTGGCTCCACCGTGATGATCTCACTACTGTTACCTCTTCCAGCCGAAGTCACAGCCACCACCCAGACGCTGTACTGACGGTTCCGACTCAGGTTAGGAATTCTGTAGGAGAACGAGTCAGGGGAGGCTTCGAACTCGCTGATGACCTGGGAGATGAGACAGAAATGGTCCCACATTCAAAGAAGCAAGTGGTACAATGGATTTCCCAACAATTAGTAACATAGAATTAACAATTACGGGGCTGGAGAGACGGCTCAGTGGTGAAGAAGACCCAGGCTCAAGTCCCAGCACCCACATGGTGTCTAATAACTGTCCGTAACTCCAGCTCCAGGGAATCCGGCGCCCTCTTCTGTCCTCTGTGGGCACTGCACAACACGGGCGCACTTACATACATGTGGGCAATACACTCATACACATAAAATAAGTAAACAAATAGTTATTAACACGTTGCTTATCATACTGTACAAAGTCCACACCACTAGGCACATTCTAAATAGCTGGATTTGCAATGAGAAGTGTGATTATCATGTTCAGGCAGCCCACAGTCTATACTGCCCTGCAGCACCTCTTATGGCTGCCCACCTGAGGAGCCACAACACTTCCGGTTTGGCCAAGGCAAGGTGACAGGACACTTATTAAACAACCAAAGAACACACACGCTATGTGAAACACTGCTTCAGAGGCATTGCTCATCCATTAATGAGTGGCAGGGATCTATGAGATGTGGGAACTACCAAGACAAACTGTGCAGTTGCAGAGATGCTGAATTTTGAGAGGCAGCTCAGATCATGGTGCAGAGAGGGACCTGGGAGGTGCCTGGCAGCCACATAACTAAGTGAGTAGATGGGATGACAGTTCACAGAGGACTAGACATGGAGGAGCTAAACACAGAGAGCTCTCTGGAGCAAAGGTTCCTCTTGGTTCCATCTGTGCATGCACGAGAGGGAGCGCTGAAGGACGGGGAAGAGCCACCTGAAAGGTCAGGGGCTCAGCCCTCACTCAGGGCTGGAGAGAGCACCTGTTTCCACCAGCCACATTGCACATCAGGATTTATGGGCACTGGATTAGTAAGAGTCCAACCTCAAAAATGAAGACTATTTAGCTCATGATTCAAAACCAGTCTAGTCCTAACAAGCCATAAAAATCAAGATTTGGAAAGATTACATGATCACTTAATAACCACTGCCTTTCAGAGGGAAGGTTAAGAATATTTATAAGAATTAAAATAGCTGTACCCAAAAAGGTGATGTTCCCAATGACGTCCAGTGAAAACCTTTCTAGATGTGAAGAGCATCAAATCATTTAATTGATGAATGGATAAATAAATGCTGCACCCAAATCCCAGAGTATGTTCCATCATAGGAAGGAATGCAGCTGTGCTAGAGGCCACATGTAGAGGGATCTTGAAAACACATTGCTGAGTGGAAGAAGCAATCATAAAATACCACACATTTATGAGATGTTCAGAACAGAGAACGCATACAGCTAGAAATAGACCAGTGGTGGTCGTGGGCAAAGAGAGCCGGGGGAGTGACAGCCAGTGGCCGCGGACTTCCTTTTGGGAGTGCCAAAAACATTCTCAAGTGGATAAAGGTAAGAGTCACTAGATGCTCTGACAATCCTGAACTTCAGAGCTGTGGCTTTGGAAGCAGTGATATGTAAATATCATCTCAACAAAGATGCATATAACAAACTCTAGGAGGGTCAAAAAGGGGAAACTGGAGTCATGAAGAAATAATTATATTTATCAAACTGACCCGTAACATATGCATATTGAGTTTTGCCAAGTCACTAAAACAGCTGTTATCAAAACCTTACAGTGACAATACAACTTCATATGTTAAAAGCAAATTGATAAATGAAAGATCTAAAGAGGCTCAATTAAACTTGGGATGAAATTATACCCCACACCTGTGTACACATGGGCATCACTAAGTGGACATAGTAGGTTTAAAAAAAGAGAGACATAGAGGTGGGTGGGGGCTATGTGGGGAGTATAGGAGGGGAGCTGGAGGGGTAACTGGGGTAGATATGATATTTCATTGTATACATGTGTAGAATTTTCAGAAATAAAGAATAATAATCTGCTAGATTATTAGCAGATTGGGTATTTTAGGAAAACATTAGTGAACTTTAAACCATCCTAACAGATGGAATGCACAGAGCAAAGAGAATTTAAAAATGACAGAGCAGGTAAGCTACGGAATCATGCCAAGCAGGCCAGCAGATGAGTGGACTTAAAACGGGGCATTAGGGGCTGGAGAGATGGCTCAGCAGTTAAGAGCACTGTCTGTTCTTGCAGAAGACCCGGGTTCAATTTCCAGCATCCACCTGGCAGCTAACAACCATCTGTAACTCCAGTTTCGGGGGATCTGATGCCCTCTTCTGACCTCCGTGGGCATTGCAAGACACAGGTGCACTTGTATACATGCAGGAAATACACTGATACACATAAAATAAAAATAATAAATACTCGAAGAAGCAAGGCTAAAAGTGCTCCAAACTCAAGGGCTATAAAGTCCATAGACCCAAGAATCTCAATGAACCTCTGCAAAAATGGAAAATTTAAGAAAACAGCAAGGTGGACCATAACCAAATTACTCAAAACAGCAACTGAGAAGCCATCCTGTGAGCGTCCAGAAAGAAGGCAGTCTTATGTATACAGGGAAACAAAGACGATAATGACGGTTTCATTTCTAAACCAACCCAAGGAGCACATCTTCAAATACTAAAAGAAAAAAAAATCAGCCTGGACTTCTACAGTCAACACACATTTTTCAAAACTAAAGATAAAACTGTTTGGAGAGATGGCTCAGTGGTTAAGAGCACTGGCTGCTCTTGTGGAAGACCTGGGGTTTGGATTCCAGAACCCATATGGGGGCTGACAACAGTCTGTAATTCCAGTTCCTGAGCCCACAGGGCCCTGCTAGATTCCTCAGCTGCCTGTGCACACCTTCACATGAGGTAGCACCTGTGTGCACATAACCTCCTGACCTATCTTCTCCAGCAATGGGATTTGACTTGTTTCTGGTAAACTCGTAAGATAATTCAGGCTGTGTGCATTTGCCTTGTGTGATGTTCCAATTAATTTGTTGCCAAATTACTTTTCCAAGCTTAGTGAGTTTCAAAGAGTGACAAGAACCAAATGTGGTGGTTATGTTGGAAAACAGATTTTTCATCACTTGAGCCTCATTAAAAGATAATTGATAGTCAGGTGTGGTGGTGCACGCCTTTAATCCCAGCCCTGGAAGGCAGAGGCAGGTGGATCTCTGCCACCCTGGTCTACACAGTGAGTTCCAGGCCAGCTGGGGCTACAAGGAGACCCTGTCTCAAAAAGACCGAAAAAAAAAAAAGAGATAATTGATAGTTAAAAATAGTTTGGCATGGGATTATAACATATATAAAAGTAAAATACGAGAAAACAATATTTCAGTGGCAGGGAGTGAGGAAAGAAAGTTGTAGTAGAGGCTTCTGTTAGTACATGTGAGGTTCAGAGTACCAAGTGAAGGCAGACTGTGGTAAGGGTTTGTACTATTGATCACAAAAACCCACTGAAACTACAAAACACAGAGGAAAATAAAGCCAATGAGCCGATGAGAAAAAGTGGAATTATAAAAATGTTAAACTCATTCAAAGAAGTCAGAACAAGACTAGTGAGGTGAGGGAGAAGGACCAAAATTTTAAAACCAAATAGTACATTTATATATTTAATCTAATCATATCAATAATTACTGTGAAAGTAGTCAGATATCCTAATTAAAGACAGTTTGTCTGGCCTGATACAAAAACAATAGTGAACTATGTGCTACATGTGAGTCCAAGAGTGAAATATAAGTAGGGCTGAAAACAAAAGAACCAGAGAGGTTTCCCATGACCGCACTATGACAACCAGGCTGAAACATCTTTGTTAATACCACAAAAAGTGAATTTAAGGATAGACCATATCACGGCTGCTAAAGGAGTTAATTTCATGAGGATAAGGGGTCAGCTCCTCTAGAGGCTATAACAATCCTGAACACCTGTGCGCCTAATAACAAGGTCTCAAATACATAAGACAAATGGAGAGAGTCTCAAATGGACATGGATCACAGTTAAAGGGGAACAATGAAAATTCTTCAGCCCCTGCACTCCTTAGCCTACATTTATGTGGACGTTGGCACCCCACTCCACGTCCCATCCCCCACAAAGCACTCATGCTGTTTTCCGTAAGTTCAGTGGAAATTTGACCTGTTTTTTGCAAGCCAAGAAGACAATCCTGAGACCATATGCAAGTGTGTGAGAAATATGACATTCTAAAGGTTTGTTATTGCCAAATTAGTTTCACAAATCTTAATAATCTGCATATCAGAACAATTACTGCTATTGAACATCCAACATCAATACTGCATTATATATACATAAAATAAAGTCTGTACAGAAAACATAGCTTTTAGTTAAAACTCAATCTGTATCCTGTCTCTGAGGTATAACTGATCTTTAGTTATGTCTAAAAATACATATTTTATTTATTTTTTGACCACACATAAAACATAAAAGAAAAAAATATTATTTCTTATGCAAATGTGTTTGCTTCACTATTTATATTAGAAAACGAACCAAGAACCAAAGCAAAAATAAAAATGCCTATGAAAGGAAATTCCGCCAGTTGGCCTAACAGTTCTCTAGAAAGTAAATGGAAAGGAAGAGTTAAGCTATTCAATATTTTCTAATATTTGCTTGGGAAGTCGGGTACATGATATCTCCACGCTCTGACACTGCTGTGTATAATACTTTAAAAATATTTATTACTTTTGTTTTATGTGTGTGTTTTGCCTGCCTGTGTGTAAGTACACCCATGTTGCGCAGTGCCTGTGGCAGTCAGAAGGAGGTTTTGGAGTCCCTGGAACTGGAGTTACACAAGGTTGTTAGCTGCTGTGCGGGTCCTCTGCAGGAACAGTCAGTGCTCTTCATGGCTGAGCCACCTCTCCAGCCCGGCTGTTGTATGTTTTTATGATGTCTGAAATCATTAGGCATTGTTTCTCTTGTCTAGGTAGAGCGAAGTCAGAAAGCTGCCAACTGAACGACTTATATAATTGAACAGTTAATATACTTATTTTTGGAAAATCTGTAACTGAATATATGAAATTTTATTAATGGCATGAAAGAG